AATACTCGTATAGTTTTAAATTCCCAGATCACACAATAGCATTTCAAACACACGAGTATATTGAATCAAAAATTAAGACTGGTTTCAAATCTCGGTATTCCATGAAACCTTATAGCACAGTTTGAACATAGGTCCCCACAACTTTTTCTCCTCTAGTCCCTAATCCTAACACCTGGGCACAGAGTTATGCGGCCTTCAATAACGTTGTCCGTGTCCGGAAACAACCGACTTGCAAACATCGCAATTTTAAGAAATTCACAAAATAAAAAATCACATACCACTTCACTAAGGAATTTTCATCAGTGTCATCCATTCCGGAGCCAGTGTCAAAGATTGAAATCTTATCCCCATCCAGATCTATCTGCAAATAAAGAAAAATGAACATCACCGTGCTAAGAGATCAACCAAACAATAGCACATTAATAGGTGCAATCATCAGGCAATATTTATTCAAACAAATACAACTACCAAAACCGTAATTATTAATTCCCTAGCATTTGGTTACTTGGTTAACGTGCAACTTCCCCGTAGCATCACTGTATCATGCTACAGAAACAAATTTCATGCAAGTGTAGCTCATGTAATATGCAGCATATAATTAAAACAACAACAGCACAAACTAATTTGAGTATTTTGCATAAGCTACGACCATTCTCAGAGCATGATATGAGATGACTGGAATGGCATGCTCCTCTCTTGAGCTGTTAACGGTTGACAAAGAAACGGAGAAGATGACAGGGAAATCAAAGGTATAGCTCAATGATAATTCCAATGGTGTTGCTTTTGATGACAGGGAAAGTGTTAGTTTAGATGTGATCATCAGATTAAGCTTAAATTCAAATATTTTTGTTAAGCATAAATGTATTTTATGATTTAAAAATGTAATGCTATAATTTGTAAATGAGTATTATATTATGTGTTGCTAAGAAGTTTTTAACGTGATTTTCACTTTCTCTATATATTAGTTATTATCAAATAAATTTTGAATTCCTTTTCAAATCGTATACTATAGTTTTATGTAATTTGTGCAGAACAAATGCTTAATAATATTATACTGTATTGCTTCAAAAAAAAAAAAAAAAACACTTAGACAACGTAACTTGGTGCAATTTGATGCTTGAAAACTGGAAAAATCATCAAACTGCTGGCATACCTAACAAGTCTTTCTCTCATTTTCCCGATTATACCACACAGCTTGCAATGAATTATCCTGATATATAAACAGAAGTGTCGGTGTCAAAATCTTCAATATTGCATTTGGAAATAATGAGTTTATTTTCTCAGTTGTGTCAAAGATCTCACAATCAAGTCTGCAAGAGCTGTTTCGAAAGTGTATTCTTCGGGAAGCTCCAACAGCAGATTAGTATCTGGTGTTAAATCCCACATATTCTGCATATTGAACACGACTTTAACGTACGTAGCATGGAACAAAGGATGTTCAGAGAAACCAAAACCATAATCTGATTACCGATTTACCGTTTAAAATATACACTGAGACAGACAAGCCTAGGAAACAGAAAACTAAGGAACATGAACAAGAAAAGTCCTTATAGAATACGAACCTTGAAAGTGCAGGCAATGTCACCGCACTCATCCTAATTCAGAGAGATAAAAACGCATCATCAGCAAGTAGGAAAAATAACGCCATCAAGCGTACATAAATTTAAAGAAAGATAATTGCATAAAATCCTAGGGATGTCTGCAAAGTGATAGAGCTAGTTATTTTTTCCCTAAAAACAAAAAACTAAGAAAGATCAGGATCCCGCAATTTCAATTCTGTGCTTGACCAGTTCGGTAATAAGATTTTTAAACCGGTAAACCTTTCCAATGACGCCGTTGTTGTGTCGTCGTCGTCACTTATGTATACTTTTCTCTTTCTAGAGCCCCTATATTTTTTCAATGACCCTTCCATAACGTCAAAGCCTTCGAATCTGTAAACAGACGAACAGAACTGACAGAAGTAAAGAACTTCTAATTATTTTCCCTGAAATCGTTGGAGCGAACAAGTTGATAACATAAACAGTAGAATGCTTTCGAAATCATTAAAACCAGCACGTCCTTGGATTTTCGATATCTACTTTGCATTTAATGTACCCACGAAAAAAAAAAAAAAAAAAAAACCGGCTTTGCATGACTGCCAGGTGCAAAAGCACATAACAGTCAACCTCGAAGAATATATTCACGCAAATAAAAATACAAACAAAAAAATAATGGAAACTAATAGAGCTGAATAAATTATAAACAAACGACCCTGACTGAGCGTCTATTCTCATTTATATGAAAGAAAGAAGCTCTGTTTTGAAGATTAAAAAGACTGAAAACAAAGTTTCATACAGTTCAACAAGGGACACTTTGGATACAGCTCGATCGTCGCGGGGCACTGAAGATTTTGCGAAGAACAACGCAGAGAACGCTATGGTTTTATATATATTGCAGAGAGAGAGAGAGGTCGGAAGAGCAAGCAACGGTTAGGAAAGGGGCGAGTGACTGAGGGAGCATTCACGGCAATGGGAAGCGAAGAGGCACTAAAGCACTGAGCTGTGTGTTTGCGACCCTGGTATGATGGAATCGGGAACGTCCGCGCATATCATGCCCCTCGCGCAGAAAAATAAGGTGGGGACCACTGGTGTCTGGGGACACTTGGTTTTCAATTTTTATTTTTTTCCCGCAACGCACTTGGACTAATCGAAGAAACAAACGGCCCAATAAAATACAGACAGACACGCGAAAATAACATATTATATCATGTTATAATTCTATTTGTCAGAAAAAAATTAGGCAGTAATTGTTAAAAATTTCGGGCAAACTGGTCTGGTGTATAAACTCCTCCCCCGTTTAAATATACAATGTATTTTAAAAAATTAAATAATTAAAATTAAGATATAATCATTATTTTTTTTTAAAGTGTTTCTATTAATAATGACTTTATATCTATTGTAAAGTGTTTAATAGAAGCAAATATAAAAAGATAGGGTTAATTTAAAATTAGGTAATTATTTTTCTTGAGAAGTGAGATTCAATTTAAAATGTCTTACATTTTTTAACGGAGGGAGTATTATATTTAATATAATATAATATAATATTTAATATTTAATGAATGGTACAGAACATGCATGGTTTACGTTATTGAGGAAAGGATTTTTTAATGTTTTTATGAAGTAATAACCCTCCTGTATGTCAGCATACTCTTCGGACTAAATTAAAATACATTAATATAAAGTGTTGATAACTCATTCATGATATTCAAAAATGTTAAATTTTTTAAAAAATTATATCTTCTTAATTTTATCATCATTAGATATTCTATATAAGTAATTTGATAATAATAATTAAAATTTTAATGCATTATTTTTTTGAAAAAAGTTATAAATGATATGGGGATATAGTTAAAAAAATAATTATAAAAATAATACTTATTTGTATTTTGGATCAAATAAAATTTTAAAAAAAAATGCCTTATTACAATATGAAGAAAATATCAATTAGGCAATTATCATTACCAAATGATATTTTCCAGTAATGGGCAAGCTTCAAGGTGACTGAGGGGGCTAGGTTGTACCTGTAAATACTAAATAGAATCATAGAAAGACCAACGAAACAGCTATAGTGGTCCCAAAAGGCAATGGTCTTGCTTCTCTCGTAATTGTAACATAAAAAAGAAAGTATAAATCATGGCATTAATTTTTTTATAAATTTTCTCTTTATCCTATTAAATATTGGTGAAAAAAAAGTATATCATTAAAATATATATATTTTAATAAAGGTAAACTTAAAAGTTTATTAAATTTTAGATGAAAATAATAAGTTTAAAATCTTTCATATGTTAAAAGTAATTTATAAATATTATTAGAGGGAATATATTTACATTTCAATTTCGCAACCATCAATTACCTGCTAAAAGCGAAGCCACGAGAAATATCAAGTATGTATGAGTCTTCACCTAAAAGCACACCATTCCCCCTGCTCTTATCTTTGTTTTTTTGGATAAAACAGCAATTTAGTTATAAATTATTTTTTAAGAGTATTTAATAGCCTAAATTATAATCACAAACTTTTAAAAATGAAGCATCCAATACCCGCCGTTAACTTCTAACAAACATTATATGAGACCTATAATGACACATGGTACGACACAAGCACAACACATCAGCATGAAAAGGTGTAAATTTAACCACGAATTATTTTTCGAAGAGCACTGGATAGCCTCTATTATAAAAAACGGACCATCCAACACCTTCCCTCAATTTGACCAAACATTGTTTATTTTCATACTTATAAAGCCCACAAACATTAATCTCTTCAATTTCTTGCATTTGTTCTCAATATAAGCTTTAAAAGGATATGTTCAAGAGTTCTTATCTAAAGAATTCACAAGGACAATACAAATAAAGTAGAAGCTGGATTTTATTATGCAGTAAAAAGTTTGATTCTAACTTAATTTAGTCATGAATTATTTTTTTTATTTTGTTAGCGTCGTCTTCGTGAACATCTTTAGACAAAAACTCTCTGAACCTCTTCTTTTCAAGTTGAGATGAGAACGAAGGCAAGAAAATGGAGAGATTAATGCTTTATATACCTCATAAGTTTGAAAATAAATTGTGTTTGGTCAAAATTGAGGGAAAGGTGTTGGATGATCCATTTTTTTATAGTAGAGGCTACCCAATGCTTCTCAGAAAATAGTTACATAATGTACGTTAGCTGAAGTTAATAATGAGCTATTGGATACTTCATTTTTAAAAGTTTGTGATTTATTTTATGCTATCTGATAATTTAGGCTACCAG